GTCTCCCACCAAGGCAGGGTGACCCAAAAAGAAAGAAAAAATCCTCAGAAAGAAAATACTTTCATCATTCAGCACTTTCACCTCACTCACATAATCACTGTTTCTGCAGAGGTGCTCAGATACAACAGTTTAGAAGCATATATAAAGATATATAATATATCCATCCAAACTGCCAATATCCCAAACCCCTCCTTTAAAGTGCAGACATTGTACTTCTCATTTCCAGTACTCAAGTCCGACTATATAAATATAACTGGTTTCCCTGAATCCTTTCACTAAATATTACCCTGCTCACATTCCAACAGCTTGTCAGGTCCCAAAAACCATTCGTCTCCTATTTAACGCGCTCATGCACGCTTGCTGGAAGCCCAAACCTCTCACCCACAAAACCTCCTTTACCCCCTCCCTCCAACCTTTTTGAGGACGACCCCTACCCTACCTTCCTTTCCCTACAGATTTATACGCTCTCCATGTCATTCTACTTTGATCCATTCTCTCTAAATGACCAAACCACCTCAACAACCCCTCTTCAGCCCTCTGACTAATAGTTATTAACTCCACACCTTCTCATTTCCACACTCCAAATTTTCTGCATATTTACACCACACATTGCCCTTAGACAGGACATCACTACCTCCAACCACCTCGTTGCTACAGCATTTACAACCCAAGCTTCACACCCATATAAGAGAGTTGGTACCACTATACTTTCATACATTCCCTTCTCTGCCTCCATTGATAACGTTTTTTGTCTCCACATATACCTCAACTCACCACACACCTATTTTCCTTCATCAATTCTTTGGTTAACCACATCTTTCATAAACCCATTTGCTGACACGTCAACTCCCAAATATCTGAAAACATTCACTTCTTTCATACTCCCTCTCTCCAATGTGATATCCAATTTTTCTTTATCTAATTCATTGGATACCCTCATCACCTTACTCTTATCTATGTTCACTTTCAACTTTCTACCTTTACACACCCTCTTAAACTCATCCACTAATCTTTGCAACTTTTCTTCAGAATCTCCCATAAGCACAGTATCATCAGTAAAAAGTAACTATGTCAACTCCCATTTTGTATTTGATTCCCCATAATTTAATCCTACCCCTCTCCCGAACACCCTTGCATTTACTTCTTTTACAACCCCATCTATAGATATATTAACCATGGTGACATTACACATCCCTATCTAAGACCTACTTTTACCAGAAAGTAATCTCCCTCTCTTCTACACACCGTAACCTGAGCCTCGCTATTCTCATAAAAACTCTTTACAGCATTTAGTAACTTACTACCTATTCCCTATACGTACTTGCAACATCTGCCACATTGCTCCCCTGTCCACTCTATCATGCCTTTTATAAATCCATAAATTCATTAAATGCCACCATCCATTTATTGGTTTATTTGCTCAATATAGGGATTCCTGCTTAGATACAAAGAAGTTGTTATCACTTAACTGGCTTAAGATATTTGCATTATCCATAAACATGCTCGTGTATTTTTTGTATTCATTCTGACAGTCATTTATATAAATTTGAAACATTAATTAGTCCAGTGCCAAAAAGACTGTATTCTGTCAGCATATCAAAGGAAGCATATCTCCCAAAAAACTCTGATAATGAATTCACAGATGGAAAACTTGTATTCTGATGGGGAAAAGGTGGGATATGTTATAGACCACTGTGGTCCCTGTACACGATGTTAGTTAAACATTTTAATCTATTTGGGGTCAGCTGTAGTCCAAATTGTTTATCTAAGAGACTATAATATGTAGTGTATGTATAAAAGATGTAATAAATACAAGTCAGTGATGCTGGAGTAAACCTCATTATGGTGTGTGCAAGTCAGTGTTGTAAAAACCAACCTTGCAGATGACTCTGTAATACAGTACTGAGTTGCAGCATCACCAGCCCATGGATAACAAGCAATAAAACATGAAAAAGAGTATTGTGGATAGGTGAATCCACAGCTACACTCATTAGTGATGTTACAGGATCTTTCCTACTGCTCTTTTCATATATCGGCACCATATTAGCCACAAAATGTTTTTATTTTTGGATTCTAGGTTCACAGGGTATCTAGGAACTAATTTGGGGGCAGATCGTACTGTATGGTGAAATGTTATGTGAAATAAAGTTTATATTTTGTGCTGTAACTACAATTTTTTAATATACACTAGTAATAAAACAAAAACTGGAATTAAAACTTTGACTACATTTACCAAGCATATTATATAGCTTTGGCTCAGTGTGGCTTCTTTGTTGATTCACTGCAGATTGTGAAATAATATCCAGGCTTACTTCCTGTTCTGAATATTATTTCATTGGGCTGCATTGAAAGAACAAATGAGTCGTGCTGCTAGCAAGTCAAAGCTTGGCCTCACCTGCCATACACACTGCTGTTTGTGTGTGGCATGAAAGCCAGGATTCAAGAGACAGAATTGATGTTAAATTAAAAGACTGTATACTGTAAAAATTAAAAAAAATTTTTATTCCAGTTATCCAATGAACATTTTGGCTTCTGTTACAATGAACATTGCCTTTTGCTTACTTAATCAACAAAAGACTCACATACCGTTCAAGTTTGCCAACATTAATACGTCATCTGGCAAAAATAGTTTTCTGAACTACATGTAATACAGTACAGTACTTATTTAAGGGTCATGACAGTATTTTACTTCATTCTAATAAGAAGGGTGTAACACAGACCAGCATAAAGAGTTAGCAGTGTACAGTATACTGTTTTGTTCTGTTCATGGTGACTCTTACCAATTAAAGGCTTTTAGCTACTTTTTTGCTTATTTGCTTATCAATCAAGCATTTTCAGCAGCTAATGGAAAATATTATTTATCCCTATGAGCCTTGTAAAACTAAGTGAGGTTACATTGACCCCAAACAGTTGAAACTAGTGAGAGTAAGCCCTCCAGAAGCAGCATTCAGAAACACCTTTAATGCCTCGCATGCTGTCTTCCGCAACTACCAGCTGCAGATTCACCAGGATTCTGAGGACGAGTGTGACAAGAAGTCTTTCCAAGGCTTCCTGGTTGATGGGCCCCTCTCGGTATGGCTTAGCCTAATCTCTCATAGGACCAGTATCTCCCTCTGTGTGTGTGTGTGTGTGTGTGTGTACTTTGTATTAATGTATGGATGTATATATACTGTATGTATGTGTGATTTTTGTCAGTGAAAGAGATGCTATGTGGTAATAAGAAAGCATAACTCTTTGGTCTGTTGATTCATTTTGGCTACACACATTTGTCATTTGATTGTCTTTTCCATTGTTTCTCCTCTGCATTGCCCATTCACCAAATAATGATTAATATTTATCTCTTTCCTCTCCCTATTACTATAATTTATCATGTTACCTTCTTTTTCTCTTTGATAAGTACTATCCTCATTAAGTATTAGAGACTAGTTTGGGGAATACATATTTGTACAATTTACAGATAAAACCTTATAAAGACACAATAGTGATTGTAAACTTTATTTAAACAATGTTTCAGATGCACAGCAGGCTTCTTTTATGTCTGACTTAGCCTGCTGTGAAGATGAAACATTGTCTCAGTAGAGTTTGCTATTGTGTCTTTATCAACTACAACCAGTCAGTAGACCTGTACCATCTATTGTGAGTACAAACTTAAACCCCCAAGCCCAGTAGCAGTAGCCTACTGATCACCTCATACCATCAAATCAACTTTGGTGACAATCTTAATGAACCTATTCTGTAATAATAATAATTATAATATAATTTGGGATTTTATAATTCTTTACTCTTGTTCTTTGTTCTTTTGAGAAATTCACAAGCAAGTGTTAGAACGTATGAAATATTGGTTTTCATATTACTTGCTATTGTTAATATTTATTATTATTTACTGTTACAATAATGTAACAGAGAACTGGTATTAGGTCCACATTCCTTTAGCCAAAACCCTTGGGGGTGGTAGTGTTTCGAATTTCAGAATGAAAGTGGAGTCTAGGGCAGCACCCCATAATCAAACATTAACACTGCAGCAAAAATGTATGAATACTCACACTAAGTGGGATAAATAAAGACTGCAAATACTACTACAATTTATTTATTGAGTAATATATTGATAAATGAAATAATGAGATAATTATAGACCAGGAACATGATTCTCAAGACTAGTGACAGACTGCATTTTTAACCCTTTGACTGTCGCGGCCGTATATGTATGTCTTACGAGGTACCGTGTTTGACGTATATATACTCATAAATTCTAGCGGCTTCAAATCAAGCAGGAGAAAGCTGGTAGGCCCACATGTGAGAGAATGGGTCTGTGTGGTCAATGTGCACCATATAAAAAAATTCCTGGAGCACGCAGTGCATAATGAGAAAAAAAAAACTCCGACCATTTTTTTAATTAAAATGCCAACTTTGTGGTCTATTTTCGTATAGTATTTATGGTTGTATTCTCATTTTCTTGGTCTCATTTGATAGAATGGAAAACATATTATAGAAATAGAGGTGATTTTGATTGATTTTACTATAAAAAGAACCTAGAAATGGAGCTCAAAGTAGGGGAAATGTTTGATTTTTGCCAATGTTCAAAAGTAAACAAATGATGCCATTTTCCAATAAATGTCCAATTAGCCATTCTAATATGCAGTCACGAATGGGTTGATGTTATTTATACAATTATTACAGTATTGCAGTAGTCTGCATAATAGTAAGTCTTCTATTTTTTGTTTGAATAAAAATTCAAAATAGAAAGCAAGAATAATATCAGAGGGGACTGGAGATGTGACTGATGAACAAAGAAGATGTTATTTTAGAGCCAGGAATGTCTGCATTGTTCATTTTGGACCTTATTTTGAAATTGTCATATTTTTTAGTTTTCGTGAAATTGGCCAAATTCCAAATTTCTGACCACATTATTAGGTAGTTGAAATCGGTAAGTGGGCAGTTTCTTGTACTCAATCGATAGAAAAAATGGAGTTCTAAAGAAATAGCTATGAGTTTGGGCGACTGGAACAATGGAATTAGCTGAAAATAGGGCTCAAAGTTGGCGAAATCGCCGATTTGTAAACATCGCTGAGGTTGCTAACTTCGCGAGAGCATAATTCCGTCAGTTTTCCATCAAATTTCGTTTTTTTGGTGTCATTACAATCGGGAAAAGATTCTCTATCATTTCATAAGAAAAAATAATTTTTTTTTTTTAAATTTTGCGACACCAGGAGACACCTCAGGATTGGGGGTTGCGACAGTCAAAGGGTTAAAGACTTCTTTAAGTGTCATCTGTCTTATTAACATAGGTTTCTGACACGCCACAATCAAGCTTCTGCAGTAACTCTACTTTCTGCATTATTGATAATGTCAGATGCCTCCTTTTCTTTTTCTTATTGTTACCCATAGGGGTATCTGCAGCTCTTTTGGTGTTTTCACAGTGAAATTGAACAGTCACAAAATAAAAAGCAAAAAAAAAAAAAAAAAAAAAAAAAAGTGAATAGCAGACGCACGTGTCAACACTACAAGCGTTGAGACATAACTGGTGGCGTTGGAGTTATGTAGAGATGACTGATGCTCCACACTCCACGAAAAAACTTCGGTTTTCGGAACTTTTCGAATTTCAGAATTTCGGATAAAGGAATGTGGACCTGTAGTGGGATTCACACTGGTATTACTGGGATTCTCACTGGTATTACTGGGATTCTCACTGGTATTACTGGGATTCTCACTGGTATTACTGGGATTCTCACTAGTATTAGTGGGGGGATTCTCACTAATACTAGTGGGGCTCTCACTGGTATTAGTGGGATTCTCACTGGTATTAGTGGGATTCTCATTGGTATTAGTGAGATTCTGACTGGTATTATTGGGGTTCTCATTGATACTAATGGGATTCTCCCTGGTATTAATGGGATTCTCGCTAGTATTAGGGGGTTCTCACTGGTATTATTAGGATTCTCACTGGTATTATTGGGGTTCTCATTTATTTAGTATGACAACTCTCTTAAGTTCAGCCAATTTATGTTATTTTTAATGTAGATCAAAGAAGTTACATACAATCCCTATGTAATCAATAAGCATCTCATGACATTGAGAAATTGAGTACGTAATGCAGTTTATTAAAGTGTGAGAGTGGAATGGTAATTGCTGTGTGTATTGAGGCTTTCTCTGTCGGACAAATTCAGTAGTACAGTAGACCGTCGTTTCACACCATAGTTACATTCCTGAAAATACCGTGTTAGACAAACTGAAGAACTTATGGGAGAAATAGGGTTACGTTCCTGGGAACCCCCAAAAAGCCAGACAACTTCTTTTTAGACCTCCAGATATTACAAAATAAAAGTGAATATGTAATTGTAGTGCATTGTTGTGATATATTACTGCTTAAGACTACAAATGCAATAGAAATAATAGTATTTCTTACCTTAAATTGTGGGTAATGGTGTTTGTGGATGATTGTGAAGAGAGTGGATATGGATGATGTGGCCCTACTGGGCTGAGGTGGATGGTTGTTGGTTGTCGGCAGAAGTGGATGGTGAAGATTCTGATACTGAAGTCAATGGTTATATTGGAGTTTGCATAAATTCTGTAATGGATCTCTGGGCTCTTTTACCCTGCAGTACATTATACAGCTGATGGTAAGGCATCATCAACTGGTCTAGACCCCATTTCAAAGCACTGCTTTTAGATTTGTCAGGGTCCTCTTCAGTGAAAAAGCCTGCTAATTTAGCAGCAACATGGAACTGCTCACGTAATTGTTGCAGTGTTAACTGTTTTTCTTCAGGTTGTTCTTCATCTTCTGTTATCTCCCTCCCTTGTATCTGTGCATCGAGCTTGCCAATATTTCCTCTGGACTCCTGTCTACATCATCATCATCATCATCATCATCATCATCATCATCATCATCATCATCATCATCATCATCATCATCATCATCATCATCATCATCATCATCATCATCATCATCATCATCATCATCATCATCATCACATCATCATCATCATCATCATCATCATCATCATCATCATCATCATCATCATCATCATCATCATCATCATCATCATCATCATCATCATCATCATCATCATCATCATCATCATCATCATCATCATCACATCATCATCATCATCATCATCATCATCATCATCATCATCATCATCATCATCATCATCATCATCATCATCATCATCATCATCATCATCATCATCATCATCATCATCATCATCATCATCATCATCATCATCATCATCGAGCTCATTCACATCTTCAAAACCATCACCTGGTAATCTCCTTGCCAGCTGAACAATTTCCTGAACCTGACTCTCTAGCAAGGGAAAACCAGTGAAAGAATTAACTACAGAAGGTCATAACTTTCCCCAGCCTACATTTAATGTTGATTGGGGCATTTCATTCCATGCACTTCTAGCATAGCTGATGGCCTCTGCAATTTTAAATTTATTCCAGAAGCTTGGTACTGCCAGGTTGGAATCAGAGTCCATTGATGCACCTAGTTTTTTCATAAATTTTTTTGTGTGGTTACACTTGAATGACTTAATAACTCCCTAATCCAGTGATTGTATTAGAGATGTTGTATTTAGAGGTAAAAATACAACTTTTACTTGTGGGGTCACATCCAGCAGAGCTTGTGGATGAGTATGGGAATTATCAAAAATGAAGAGAGCCTTGAATACAAGGTTCTTGCTGTGCAGGTAAAATTTTACTTCAGGAATAAAGTGATACTTGAACCAGTCAATAAATATTTCCTCTGTCATCCATGCTGACGGGTTTGACCTCCAAATTACTGGTAAGGTGTTTTTATCTACATGTTTCAAAGCACGAGGATTCTTAGAGTGGTAAATAACCATGGGCTTACACTAGAAGTCACCTGTTGCATTACCGCAAAGAAGCAAGGTGAAGCGATCTTTTGCTGTCTTGAAGCCTGGTGCACTTTTCTCTTGCTGACTAATATAAATTCGTATTAGCATTTTTTTTTCCAAAAAACACTTGCCTCGTCAGCATTAAACACTTGATGATGAGGGTGGTGTGGGTGGCTTAGGGAGGCGGGGGATGGCGATAGGTCTTCCCCATTGACACAATGGTGTAACCCACAGACTTTCCCACCTGGCGGGCGACCGCACACTCGTGCAACTGTGTTAAACTAATTTTGCGAAGTGTTAAACAAAAATATGCCGCAATTCTTCAATCGTGCTATAACAAACGTGCAAGACAAAATTGTGTTAAATGACGGTCTACTGTATTTAGATTAAAACGACTTGTTTTCAGTTGCATCTGACTTATTTACCAGTCAATAAGATTTTATGGTACATAAAACAAATGTATAGATATTGTATATAGTATTAATGTATTTTGCTGAAAATCTATCATGCTATTTAAATAATACTATTGCCATTTCATCAGGAAAAATACCTGTTGAATTAAATTAAGAAAATATAATTTTAATAGATACTGTTAAATTCTAGTGTATATGCTGTTATAATCAGTGTGTTCACATTTATAAATATTTGTTCAGCCATGGCAGCCCCACATTGGTCCTCCGCAAGGTTACGGAGCATTCCATCACCAATATTGGCTGGATGGTCGCTTGATAGCAGTTGGAGTATTGGACATTCTGCCCCACTGCCTCTCCTCAGTCTACTTCTATTATGATCCTGAGTTCTCGTTTTTATCATTAGGCACTTATGCGTCATTAAGGTAAGTGGCATATTTTTTTGTACATATCTTGTATTATATGTGATAATTTTATTTCATAGGAAGATAGTGTACTCTAAGAGCTAAAATAGTTGATTGACATTACATATATAGTTCAGTATAGAATAGATCATCACAATTTACACTACCACACAAAACATTTCCAGTGTATCACAATTGAAATTTTGCTTCCCACATTTCTTTGTAACTGACCACCATACTGGAAGTTTTGCTTCCCGATTGTTTCATTGTTGACGTTTTCATGGCCATTTTGCTTCTGGATATTAACCATGCCACCAAAGAGGAATATTACCAATGCTGAAAGTTTTAAAGAGAATTGTGTAGGCAAAAACAGTGAAATCAGGTGGTCTAGTGGCCCCAGAAACAAAAGCTATTAGGGCATTGAATATTGCCAGTGCAATCCTGCAGTTAGTTTTCAATTTAAGGTCTAGTGCCAAGCCCCTAAAAAAATACATTGAAATCTCATGATTAATCAGATTTATTTGTGGGTTAACCAAGTTAAAATATTGCATAATCAGAGCCTCTGAACTGGGACTCCCACAAATATAAGAGTTCAACTGTATGAAGAACAGTATGGAACCACAAATGATATCCTTCAAATTTTTACATTATCTCTCCATAGTCACATGTTTCTTCTCTTCTGTTCCACTATGACTTCCTTTTGTATGTGCATGTATTTATATACTGTACTACTGTATATCTAAATGCTCTTTTTTTTATTTTTCAGAGAAATTGCATTGACTCGAGAACTTCAGCGTAGAGTCCCATCCTTGAAGTGGTATTACATGGGTTTCTACATTCATTCTTGTCCCAAAATGCGCTATAAAGGCAGATACAACCCTTCATTTCTACTGTGCCCAGAGACTTACTCTTGGATTCCCATTGAAAATGCATTACCCCAACTAGATGCAGCAAAGTACTCTAGATTAAATGAAGATGCAGCTGCTGTTGATGAAAATGGTCAGGTGGACATCAGTAAAGTACGTTGTGTCTTCTCCTTTGTGCATGGTCTTAAAATGTCATTGGTGTGCCTGTGACACATGATGCTGATGGCCTATTATCTACATAAATAGGGGCATGAACAATAGAAAAACGTTATTCACTCCACTCATCATGTTTTCATGTATAGCTTTGTTTTTCTGGAACCTAACTGGTGCAAACGATTGTTGTCTGCTGTACTAAAAATTATTTAAATTATAAATATGGCTAGGTTAATTGCACAATGTGTAGTATATTTAATCTTTTCCCTAACTTCAAATTAAATGTATCCTTCTGGCTATACAGTAACTCCCCTATTTAACAAACTAATTGGGAGGAGTGGGTGGCCAGTAATGGCAATTATGGTGGATAGAGAAAAAATTATTTTCTGTGATTGTAACAGTAATGAACAATTCTGCTACCAGAAGACTTTGCTTTTTATTTCCAGATTTATTGACCAAGGGGATATTGTAGTTGTTCCTACATTTTTTTTCTAACACTGTTTTCAGTTGTCGCCCTTTAAACTCATGCACTACTGTTCGCAGGAAGGATATTAGATGCACGAAAAATTACATTCTTCAGCAACATCATCTAAAATCTAACCAATTGTAACTACAGTGGAAAACTGCTGATCCAGAACAATCCATGCATAGTATGCAACCACAGTAACAGAGTCCAGTTCAGAACAGGAAAAGCTCTAAATAGGAAAATTAATATAGTACCGATGACTAGTTTTTTTATTTGAAGTGTACAGTTGTACAGTACTGTATATACTTCATTTGGAGTAGCAGCATGTGTGATAAGTGCATAATTACAGCAAAATATATGCAAGAATAGTTGCTGATCGGATCCTGAGTGCCTAATCACTGCTTCATCTGCATGTCTTATTTTTGTAATGTCTTTCACTTAGTACATCATCATCATCTGCCTGAACTTTTTTTTTTTTTTTTTTCTTTCTTTTCTCATCTTTCTTTTCTGTATTAAGTGCCTTACCAAACACTGACATACTAGGTATATCCAAGGTGTTGTATTACAGTTCTTTCTTTCAACGCACCAGCCATAGCCCACTGAGGTGGGGTGGCCCAAAAGGAAAAATGAAAGTTTCGCCTTTTAAATTTAGTAATATATACAGAAGGGATAGGTAGTAGGTTGGTAGACAGCAACCGCCCAGGGAGGTACTACCGTCCTGCCAAGTGAGTGTAAAACGAAAGCCTGTAATTGTTTTACATGATGGTAGGATTGCTGGTGTCATTTTTTCTGTCTCATGAACATGCAAGATTTCAGGTACGTCTTGCTACTTCTACTTACACTTAGGTCACACTACACATACATGTACAGGCATATATACACATACCCCTCTGGGTTTTCTTCTATTGTCTTTCTAGTTCTTATTCTTGTCTATTTCCTCTTATCTCCATGGGGAAGTGGAACAGAATTCTTCCTCCGTAAGCCATGCGTGTTGTAAGAGGCGACTAAAATGCCGGGAGCAAGGGGCTAGTAACCTCTTCTCCTGTACATATTACTAAATGTAAAAGGAGAAACTTTCGTTTTTCCTTTTGGGCCACCCTGCCTTGGTGGGATACAGCCGGTGTGTTGAAAGAAAGAAGAAAGAAAGATACAGAAGGGGTTACTAGCCCCTTGCTCCCGGCATTTTAGTTGCCTCTTACGACACGCATGGCTTACGGAGGAAGAATTCTGTTCCACTTCCCCATGGAGATAAGAGGAAATAGACAAGAATAAGAACTAGAAAGACAATAGAAGAAAACCCAGAGGGGTATGTGTATATATGCCTGTACATGTATGTGTAGTGTGACCTAAGTGTAAGTAGAAGTAGCAAGATGTACCTGAAATCTTGCATGTTTATGAGACAGAAAAAAGACACCAGCAATCCTACCATGTAAAACAATTACAGACTTTCGTTTTACACTCACTTGGCAGGACGGTAGTACCTCCCTGGGTGGTTGCTGTCTACCAACCTACTACCTATATTATATTACAGTTATTAGTATGAATAAGAGTAATATACTGTAAGAATAATATACTTTCTTGAAAAAACATGTTAGGTAACAATAGGTGAAGAGGAGCAGGCACTGCTCCTCTTCACTCTAATACATATTACTTGTGCACTCATTTCTGCTAGCCTCAAGATTTTGATGCCTTGATTTGCTTAGTCTGTTTGATAGACTTACTTTAAGTAGTTGTTCAGAACACAGCAATAATTACTGAAATTAAATGAAAAAAAAATAACAGAAATGGAATATTAAAACTTATGAATTCTTCCTGGAAACCAAAATAGATATATGAAGTGTTATGGAATATGAGTGTATATAATAATGGTGTTCTATTATCTCTCTCTACCATTATTGCAACATTATTAACCATTTGAACTCCCATCTTCATTCATTTAATTTTGTCTTGCCCTGCCCTGGTAAAAAATTTTTTTTTCTTTTCTCCAGATACGAGTACTATATAGACAGGACCTCATGAGGTATGGAAGGTATCATGCACTCAACCCAGGTGCTGATGATGAAGAGGAGGTCAGGGAATATGCAACCCTAGTAGGAGCAAAGTGTGCTTATTCTCTTTTCTTGTATCGAAGCTGATTTTCTTTCTTAAAACATCAGCAGTAGCAGTTCTCAGGATATTTTTGTCATAATGTTGTTAGACACTTCATAATTTCTAGTGCACATTTTCTTAGTCTTTATCCATGACATATCTTCATGAGTGAGTGATGTAATAGAGCTAGTGTGATGTTGGTCACATATTTTGTGTATGTTTGTTTGTTTAACACTATTATGATTGTCAAAAAGAAAGAAGAGGAATTATGGAGGCCCCAGTCTACTGACATCACAGGAGTGAGACAACATGGTATCATAGTCCTATCTGGAATTCTTATTGAGGCTGAGAATTGTGATAGGTCTTTGGGTTGTCCCAAATCATGTCTTAACTATCTCCACTGCCATCTTGGATACTTTTTTTTTTTTTTTTAAATAATACACCAAGATGCAATGGCTTAGTTCTAACCACCCAGTTAGTGAGGATTGTTCCATTAACTTTTATTACAAGATACTTTAACTATTTTTTCCAAAGTGCAATTTAGATTGGTTAATACAGCGAATGTATTTTTTTTTTTTTTTTTTAAGGATTTTTGTTTCTTTTATGTTAGTTAACCCATTCATTGTTATGACACTTGAAATACAAAAACTTGTTAGCAGTGAATGAAAGTTTATGCAACAGAGCCATAAAATTATATATTTTTTTAGTCACTATATATCATTTACATAGTGTAGTATAGAGAGACTCAGCATTGTCAATGAAAGCATTTGTTTAATAATAACTTGTGATAAATGCTTTCAGTCCTGTTTAAGAATCTTAAATACTGCTTGTTTGGAATCGAGAGTAGAAACCTCTGCTGTACAATTCAAGCTCTTGGATTTTCCGATATTTTAGGAGTACAGTAAGGCCCCGCTTTACGGCGTTTCGCCTTACGGCATTCCACTAATACGGCGATGTCAAATTATGACCAATATTTGCTATACGGCAACTGGTCTTTCAAATAAGGCACCCCCCCACCCGGTTTGTTTACATTTTCCGTGACCACATCTATTATGTCAGGAAACTTTCCAAAATTTCAAGTGTTTTAAAGTTACTGCATATTTTATATGTACTCTGATAATTATACTTATGTGTACCTTTACCTAAATATACTTATACACTGTGCTGGTGTGCAGGTACACATTAAAATCGCTAAGTCTCTCTCTACTCATGACGCCAATACTACGTAATAATAATCACTCTTGGGCACACTCAATGTCTTATTTTACATCAATATAGGCATTTTCATTAATCCATCTATGATATTTTCCTCAAAATTATTTATGAAACCCATTACATAGCATATAAACATGATACATACACTCACAGAATAAAAATTGATATAAATATGAGATTTGTTTACAAAGCAGCTGTGTAGATAGTGTCGGAAGAATTAAGTTTTCTCTAGTCAAACTGGGGGATAACTGTAGAGAAATATTCTTTTCATATGCCTTTATATATAGCAATTCATGACCCTTGTGGGTTTAATGCTTTTTATAATAAATAATAATAATAATAATATTATTATTATTAATAATAATAATATTATTATTATTATTATCTTCATTCACTCTAAAAATGGTGTGTTGCTGTTTGTTTATTCTGAACTAACTTGTACAACTTGTACACATTGTGAGGTAATTATTATTATAATAAAAAAATATTGAGGTAAATGTTTTACAAACTCTTACAAATGGACATAAATGAACTAAAAGTAGACACACATTAATACGCATTTATTTCGCCTGACCAAGTGATCGTCCACTACCTGTTCAGTTTGTGTTCTTACATTGTCTCAATTCTGTATCTCGTTCTCTCTCTCGTTTACTCTTTCGTTAACTAGTTGGCTCTCATTGACGATGGCGTCTAAGGTTAGCTGTAATAAAAAGAGAAGTCGTAAACCTCTTCCTTTAAGTGCCAAGTTAGAGGATGATGGTGTGCCATTCTGATTTTATTCAATAAACACCCTGCCACTCACCTCTCACACATTAATATTAATATTTTAAGGTAAGTAATAAGTGTACAGTGGACCCCCGCATACCGTTGGCATCACATAACGTTAAATCCGCATACCGCTACATTTTATTGCCAAGATTTTGCCTCGCATACCGCTAAAAAACCCGCTCAACGCTATTCGTCCGAGACGCGTCTAATGTGCGCCCTTAGCCAGCCTCACATGTTCCGCTGGTGGCATTGTTTACCAGCCAGCCTCCGCGGTAACATCCAAGCATACAATCGGAACATTTCGTATTATTGCAGTGTTTCTGGTGATTTTATCTGCAAAATAAGTGACCATGGGCCCCAAGAAAGCTTCTAGTGCCAACCCTACAGGAATAAGGGTGAGAATTACTATAGAGATGAAGAAAGAGATCATTGATAAGTATGAAAGTGGAGTGCGTGTCTCCGAGCTGGCCAGGTTGTATAGTAAACCCCCAATCAACCATCGCTACTATTGTGGGCAACAAAAAGGCAATCAAGGAAGCTGTTCTTGCCAAAGGTTTAACTGTGTTTTCGAAACAGAGATCGCAAGTGATGGAAGATGTTGAGAGACTGTTATTGGTGTGGATAAATGAGAAACAGATAGCAGGAGATAGCATCTCTCAAGTGATCATAAGTGAAAAGGCTAGGAAGTTGCATGAGGATTTAATTAAAAAAATGCCTGCAACTAGTGATGATGTGAGTGAATTTAAGGCCAGCAAAGGTTGGTTTGAGAGATTTAAGAGGCTAGTGCATACATAGTGTGATAAGGCATGGTGAGGCTGCCAGTTCGGACCACAAAGCAGCTGAAAAATATGTGCAGGAATTCAAGGAGTACATAGAAACTGAAGGACTGAAACCTGAACAAGTGTTTAATTGTGATGAAACAGGCCTGTTTTGGAAGAAAATGCCAAGCAGGACCTACATTGCTCAGAGGAAAAGGCACTCCCAGACATAAGCCTATGAAAGACAGGCTTACTCTGTTGATGTGTTCCAATGCTAGTGGTGATTGCAAAGTGAAGCCTTTATTAGTGTATCACTCTGAAACTCCGAGACTGTTCAGGCAAAAGAATGTCCTCAAGGAAAATTTGTGTGTGCTGTGGAGGGCAAACAGTAAGGCATGGGTCACTAGGGACTTTTTCTATGACTGGTTACACCATGCATTTGCCCCCAATGTGAAAGATTACCTAACTGAAAAGAAATTAGAACTTAAGTGCCTCCTGGTGTTAGACAATGCCCCTGGTCATCCTACAGACGTGGCAGAGCGACTTTATGGGGACATGAAATTCATTAAGGTGAAGTTTTTGCCTCCTAATACCACTCCTCTCCTGCAGCCCATGGACCAGCAGGTTATTGCAAACTTCAAAAAACTGTACACAAAGCTCTGTTTTGAAAGGTGCTTTGTAGTGACCTCAGAAACTCAACTGACTCTTAGAGACTTTTGGAGAGATCACTTTAATATCCTCAATTGTGTAAACCTTATAGGTAAGGCTTGGGAGGGAGTGACTAAAGACCTTGAACTCTGCTTGGAAGAAACTGTGGCCAAATGTGTAGACCAAAGGGATTTTGAAGGGTTTCAGGCTAACCCTGAGAATCCTATGCCAGTTGAGGAATCCATTATGGCATTGGGAAAGTCCTTGGGGTTGGAGGTTAGTGGGGATGATGTGGAAGAGTTGGTGTAGGAGGACAATGAAGAACTAACCACTGATGAGCTGATAGATCAACTTCAACAGCAAGAGGCCAGACTTGAGGAAACTGGTTCAAAGGAGGGGAGAGAGAAATTGAACAAATTGCCTACTACAAAGAATAAGGAAATCTGTGCAAAGTGGCTTGAAGTGCAAACCTTCATGGATGAAAATCACCCTCACACAGCTATTGCAAGCCGTGCTGGTGACTATTACACTGACAATGTTGTGAAACACTTTAGGGAAGTCATAAAGGAACGAGAGGTACAGGCCTCTATGGACAGATATGTTGTGCGACAGAACTCCAGTGACTCTCAAGCTGGTCCTAGTGGCATTAAAAGAAGAAGGGAAGTAACCCCAGAAAAGGACTTGACACCTCAAGTCTTAATGGAAGGGGGTTCCCCTTCTAAACACTAAGACACTCTCCTCCTCCCATCCCATCAATCATCACCAGATCTTCAATAAAAGTAAGTGTCATGTAATTGTGCATGCCTTTTTCAGTTTGTGTGTATTAAAATTAATATTTCATGTGGTAAATTTTTTTTTTTCATACTTTGGGGTGTCTTGCATGGATTAATTTGATTTCCATTATTTCTTATGGGGAAAATTCATTCACATAACGATAATTTTGCATAACAATGAGCTCTCTTGCACGGATTAATATCGCTATGCGGGGGTCCACTGTACTCTGTGTGTATCTTACCTTTTATTGTGTTTTTAATGCCTATTTCTATTGCTAACTTAATATAAGTCAGTGTAAACTTGTTGTCTGGCATTTATTGCATATTTTATGTGTGCTCTGATAATAATACTTGTGGAGCTGTGTGGTAGCCGGGTGGAGGGACAACATTACGTTTTCTATGCTCAGCCATCAGAGAAAATGTGTATGAATCTGCGTTTGACCCAGCCACTCCCTCACTCCGCTTTTGTTTACAATTTTCGGCATGAATTATTCATTACTTCTACCTTCGTTTATGATGGCATCTAAAGGTAGTTGTTAGAAATGATTAAATTCAGTGAACAAGGCATGTCGATGTTAATAATATGGCTCTGGGCCACAGTGTAGGTAGCCGGTAGGTGTAGCCCAGGCGCTACACCTACCGGCTACCTACACTGACTTCCTACAAATAAATACTACTCGCCTCTCCTCCTATATTAAGACTACACATATTTTAAGGTAAATAATGAGTGTACTGTATGTGTATTTTACCTCTCGGGGATGTTTTAAATATCGTATATTAAGTATGAGATGCGAAGCCAGGGCTACCTACACCTGGGCTACCTGCACCTGGCTTCCTACAAATAAGTACTACTCACATCTCTCCCTACATTAAGATTACAAATACTTTAAGATAAGTAATGAATTTACTGTGAATGTATTTTACTTTGTGTGTTTTTAATGCCTAGTTCTATTATTAACGTAATATAATTTAGCGTAAACTTGTTGTCTGGTATTTATATGTCTGCTTTCCGGCGACAGCCTGGAACCTAACCCGCCGTATAAGTGGGGCCCTACTGTATATAATCACCAAGAAGTGTACATTGGGTATAAACAAAGTTTATTTTAATTCCTATTTTATATATTACACCATCTTGATTAATGGTGCACAGGTGAATTGCAGTCTCAGTGACCTTGATGCAGTCAATAGGCTAAAGCATCATCCATCATAAAAAATTGCAATGGTAATGCAACATTCAAAATAATTGCTTTGCATAATTTTATCAAAGTAATTACCTGGATAATTTTGTCAAAATAATTTGCACAATTTTGTCAAGTTGTTGGGCCAGTTATTAACTGCAGAGTATCTGTTAGACAATTTTGGGGGTCTGCCCCTGTGGCCATGTCCCAGGTTGAGAGTCTGATCAATTAAGGTGTTTGTGCTGGCCACATGCAAACCAAAGTTGGTACCACATCCCAGTTCCTCAAGAGCCGACTTAGTAAAAGTATCAGCTTCCCTATTTAAGACAGCTTGGTGTAATTTTCTTTGGCTCTGAAAGGAGGGTATTGAGAAGTCTTGGTCCTTTCACACATTTTGTAAAAGAAGTACAATGAGTTCCGTTGAAGTTCTTCAAATTTAACCAGCAGATTTTTTGTTTAACTCTCTTGTGGTCCGTGCCATGGTACTACAGCTTTGAACTTAGGGTCTGTGCCATAGAACTGTGTAATGAGCTCACCTCACTCATATAAGCTGTGAGTGGTAAATTTTGGCAGTGTATGATGGTGCACTGCCCCAAACAGTGCACAATGGGAAAAACAAAACTAACTGTGTGTGTGGCTTAAAAATAGTGACTGCAGTGTATTTTCAGATGGTTTTTATAGTTTTATTCTCAAGTTTCTTCGCTTCATTTGATAGAATGTATATAGTAATGCAGAAGTAGAGATGATTTGATTGGTTTCAGGATGAAGTTACTTGAAACTGAGCTCAGAGTAGCAAAAATATTAAATTTTTGTCACTATTCCAGAGGACACTTATCACAGCACTCTTCTAATATGTGTCCAACTGGTCAATCTAATACACATTCGTGAATGTGCTGACATTATTTATGCAATTATTACAATAATGCAGTAATCTGCCTAAGAGTAAATCTTCTATTTTTTTTATTTTTTTGTGTGTGAATAAATATTGAAGATGGAAATCAACTGTTATATAGGAGAGGCCTGGGGAAGTAACTGATGAACAAAAGAAATATTGTTTTAGTGCCAGGAATGTCTACAGTGTTTATGCTGGACCTTATTTTTAAATTGGCAATTTTTTTTAATTTTGTGTGAAATTGGCCAAATTACCAATTTCTGATCACTATTGGGAAGTTAAATGGGCAGTTTCTTGTGCTCAGTCAATAGAAAGGCAGTAATACTAGCAAAATAGCTAAGAGTTTGGTTGACTGGAACAATGAAATTGTCCTAAAATAGGACTCAAAGTGGGTGAAATCGCCAGCCAGTTTGTAAATATTGATGAGACTTCTAACTTTGCAGAAGCATAATTCCACAAGTTTTTCATCAAATTTTGTACTTATTGTGTCATTATGCTCAGTTTTTTTTTTATACCCTGTGACCAAATCTTAGATAAGGGGTCTTGACCCTGAAAGGGATAAATGTTTTCTGTTTTTATGCAAACTTTATTAATAGGAGGAGTAATCTTCACTACTTTGAGCCTACTTATTGTAATTATCCTTATTATATTATTTAACAAATATTATAAACAAATATAATAAATTATGTAAAACAATTTAGTATATTGAAGTTTTGCTATTTGAATAATTAATCCTAAAATAAATAACACACTGTGGTTTCCCCAGCACCCCTTGAATCAACTAATTTTGATGGGTATTTCATTGCTCAAAAAAAAAGAAAATGATTAAAATATAGCAGAAGTGGTTTAATCCCTCTACTTTTGATCATCTCTTATAAATTAGTTCACTGGGAGTCATTAACCTCTATTAGATAACATGACACAGGATGTGTAGTCGTCATTGCACCTTGACTATAACATCCCTTCTTGCTTTCTTCTAAAGTAATCTTCCACTGCTGGGGTCACCTTATCTTGGTAGCAGAATCTGAGCAGTGTTGCTCAACTAAAAATGCAGCATACCTCTTTTTTTGGCTTATGCTAGAGCTTAGCTATACAGTAATTCATAAAAGTAATATCTGCAAATTGTGTTTGAGGCATAAGCAACTGAGGAAAGCATAATGTTTCTTTCTGGTCACATGAAATCAGCCTGACTTGAGTCCTGGGAAGCCTCCACACTTTTGCATTGCTTGTATTCTCTCCACAGAGAATTAAACAAGTTACAGACTGTGGCCGGAACAATTCATCACAAAGGTCATTATTTAATTTATAGTGAGGTTTCTCAGTTGCAGGAGCAATAGATGGTTAGAGTTATACACAAATAACCCGCACATAGAAGAGAGGAGCTTACGACAACGTTTCGATTTGACTTGGAACATTTACAAAGTCACACTAACGAGAAGTAGAGCAGGATGGGTAAATATAGGCAGGAAGAGGTAGTGGTGGTGGTAGTAGTAGTAGTAGTAGTAGTAGTGGTAGTAATAGTTGT